TAGGTGTAAAGGAAGAATGAGTCAGAAAGGTTTGAAACAAGCTATTCTCAGGCCTTACTATAGTGGCTTAACTGGAAAATATTTAATAAAGCCTTCCTTTGAAATTTAAAATTTTATATTGTAATCATGTCTGACAATCTAGAAAATTACAGTGAAATGATTCTAAGCCTGCCTTCCCATCCCCCATGCATACACACCAGGGAGTCTGTCACATTTATGTTATTCATGGAAAATTACACTGTGGCTTAGTAAAATAAGTAAATGCCCATTGTGTAGTCATTTGTTCTATTATATATGGTTTCGAGTGGTGCCACTGTCAATTATATTTTAAAATAATTTGCATCTTTGAGGAAAAATGCAAGCAGCATTCTGAACTTGGAACTAGATTTGTACATTTTCACAATGTTTGAAAAGTCAGATCTGCTCATTTTTCTCGCCTTGAATTAAATGACTTGCTTTTTATTGATATTAAGAAACTCTGATTATGGTGTCTTCCAAATATATTTTTGTCACATACTATATACTAGTATATAGAGAATAAGGAGCTCTGGTGGCATAGTGCCTAAGGCGTTTTACTGCTAACCAAAAGGTAGACAGTTCAAACCCACCAGCCACTCCGCAGAAAGAAGACAGAGCACTCTTCTGTAGAGATTTACCTCCTTGGAAACCCAAAGGGGATCGCTATGAGTTGGAATCCACTCAATTGCAGTGAGTTTGGTTTTGATATACTAGTATAGGTTTTATCTTTTCTATCTCAGAATTTGTTCATTAAAATCCGCTTGCCTGAAAGCCCTCTTGCCTTCTCTCCATTCTACATGACTAGCTTTTATACCATGCAAGGCACTTCACTAATCACCAGAGATGTATAAATGATTAAAATGGTTCTGCTCTCAAACTACTCACAGTTCTGTCTCTGAGATATAAAACTAAGTGTAGCTCTGAGAAGTACGGAAAATAAAAATAAAGTGTGGAAACAGTCATAAATAGTGATGCTTTTGCAGATTGAAGCAGAGGGTAATGTTTGAATTGGTTGCTAGATGAGCAGCATTTTGACCAAGGAAAGGGGTGTGGCATTCCAGAGGGAGGGCACGACAGAGACAAGAAGTATCTCGTGTAAGACCTCAGACACTACCTACTACATAAAGGTTTTCCAGACTAAAGTGGGTGGGCTAAACTATGATTGTAACCATAATAATTGTTGCTTTTCTTTATTTAGTCATTTTCTAATTTGTGGTACTCTACATTGTTTCAAATGGTTCACGTGTTTGTAAAGCTTGTCTTTTGATCAAATTTGGCTAGACTAAATCATCAGCTTTCTGAGGACAGATTATTATGCCATCGCTGTATTTAGTAATCAGTCTTTGTCAGAGAAAGCAGCAATGTGCTTTTAAATTGATAATTAAATGAAAAGCAGGTTCTAATTGCATCGCTATCTCTGCTGTAATATTAATCTTTTCACCCATTATTTCACGAACTTGTATTCAATGCTTTGTGTATATGCAATGTGATTTTCAAGTATTATTTATTTTATCTCATTAGTGTGCCGGTGATAAATATCCAACTGGTAGAAACCAAGTCTTTAATTTGCATTATGTATTTACCATATCATTATCTTGGGACATTTTTCTTACAAAAAGGACCTTTTGTGTAAAAATTAATATGTATTAATTTTTAAAATTATATAGTGAAATTGTGTACAGTTCCCTACCCTCCCAGGCATTTAGTCTTCCTCCCACTACCCTCCCCACCAAACACCCATTTGAACATTTTACTTCTCAGAAATAACAGCTATTTTCAGTTCCACACACAGTTTTAGAGTTATGTTTAAGAAATGAATTTCAAAATATTTCAAATCACAAATGTAGTCAAACTACTCATGCTCTTTGGACTGACTGACTTATTTTTATTGCAGATGTTATTCCATGTAAATAAGTAGAAGTCTTCCTATTTAATGTCTACAGAAATACAATATATGGATAATTTATTTCATTTCCTAATGAATATTTGTTGTTGCTGTTGTTAGCTGTCCCCAATTTATGAGAACCTCATGCAAAGGTTATCAGACCATTGTGACCCATTGGGTTTTCACTGGTGGATTTTTGGAAGTAGATCTGCGGGTCTTCCATCCTGGTCCATCTTAGTCTAGAAGCTCCACTGAAACCTACCCAGCAGAGCAAGCTAGACTCCTAGCTTGTTAGGTAGTAACTGCACTTGAGGTGCACTGGCCAGGAATCGAATCCAGGTATTCCGCATAGGAGACGAGATTTAACACTGATGCGCCACTTCCCTGTGGTGAAGATTTAGGTTAATATTTTCCTTGTTATTAAACACACACACACATTGACCATGTTTGTTTCTGCTGTTAGGTGAGGTTGAGTCAGCTCTGTCTCATAGCGGCCCCATGTATAACAGAACAAAACACTGCTGGGTCCTATGCCAGCCTCACAATCCTTGCTGTACCCGAGCCCATTGTTGCAACTACTGTGTCAATCCATCTCATTGAGGGCCTTCACCTTTTTCGTTAACCCTCCACTTTACCAAGCATGATATCCTTCACCAAGGAATGTCTGTTCTGACATGACCTAAGTAGGTCAGATAAAGGCTGGCCATTCTCCCTTCCAAGAAGCATTCCAGCTGCACTTCGTCCAGGACAGATTTGTTGGTTCTGACAATCCATGGTACTTTCAGTATTCTTCACCAACACCACAACTCAAAAGTATCAACTCGGTCTTCCTTATTCATTATTCAGCTCTCACATGCATATGAGGTGATTGGCTTAGGCGCACCTTAGTCTTCAAAGGGAGATTTTGCTCTTCAGCACTTTAAAGAGGTCTTTTGCAGCCGATTTGCCAAGACCTCTGATTTCTTGACTGCTGTGTCCATCAGTGTTGATTGTGGAACCAAATAATATGAAATCTTTGACAATTTCAATCTTGTCTCCATTTATCGTGATGCTGCTTATTGGTCCATTTGTGAGGATTGGTGTTTTCTTTATGTTGAAGTGTAATCCATACTGCAGACGGTGGTCTTTAATCTTCATCAGTAAGTGTTTCAAATCATCTTCACTTTCAGCA